TATATATATATATATATATATATATATATATATATATATTCCTACATGTCTTTATTGCTGTTGCTTTTGCACAAAGTTTTTATCGTTTTGGTTGTGTGTATCTAAGCATTCTCCTTCGTGGTCAAGCAGAATGGCTAAACATGTGTTCTCCTGTTTTCATGTGTGTGTTGTTGTTTTTTTTATATAAATTTACTTCAGTTAATTTTGCTTAGAGAAGAAGGATTTGGACCAGTTTCGGAGAAGACCACCCTTATCAGGAATCCTCGGCTAGTCTAAAATAAAATACGATAATCGTTCAAGTTTTAGAATGACTAGTAAATGCCAGTATTTCTAAAATCGGTGAAACAGAATGAGACAGGAAAAAATTAAAATAATTTTAAAAAAATTTCTCCTCATAAACGGATGATTAAAAATATAAGAATTAATCTGTTATTATATCCTGACATGCTCAAAGAGAGAGTTAATCACATATCATAAGAACAATATTCCAAGTTCCTCGCTATTTTTGGAACTAATCCTCTATCCTCCATCGTGTTCAGTCTGATGATCATGATTAAGTACTATAGCACGATACTACAATTTAAATTGTAGTAAGCTCCTATAAAGGACGCTGGGCTCTACCTAAAATATCACTTATCCTCTACTGTACGTGAGCTTTAAAGATGAGTAAAAAAGGATATAAAAATTAAGTCAATTTGCATCTGGGAACTTGTGGTTGATTAGGAATGGTTGTGATTCTAATTTATGAAAACAGCTGTTGATTTTGAGGTGTGTCTGGAAGCTTGCAAGCTTTTGACGTGTGAGCCTTTGTAAACTCCAAATCGTTGTTAATTATCTTGTTACTGATATTAGATAATGTGTTCAGCTTCATTGCAATTATTCTTTGAGCCGGGATGTTCTTAGTCGTAACTATAGCCTTAGCATCATGAATGAGAGTATTGGTACTGATTGACTTCAGGCATAGTTTCAGAGTCCGTTACTGTCAGAAACGCTCTGTTGTGTTACTTTTTCGCTTTCATGGTGAGCATTGAAAGTTCTCTTTTCCGAAACATTGTTCTTTTTGGCTTTTCATGGTTTAACAGTATCGCTATTTGAAGATTTATCTTATCCAAGCATAAGTATCATTGTAGCGTTGCACTGTCAAATGGTTGAGTGTTCACCGTGAACCTAATAATGGTTCTTGACTTATCACTTCTTGCATCTGTGACAACAAGTTGCCACCGTATTAATATATGAATTTTTTCCTTATAAAATGCATATGTTCTACAGTGGCTAAGCCTACACTTCACATAAATCTTTTTACTTAGCTTTTCCTTAGATTATTATTTAATCCAGCATTTGTAAAGTACGTAGATAACGTATTTTTTATCCACATTTAAAATGATAAAAAACCCTATAACTCTAGCGCTTTCGAAAGGTGGACCTTTCTTCTTCAGTTTGCCCCTGAAGAAGAAGAAATGTTTACCTTTCGAAAGTGCTAGAGTTATAGGATATTTATCATTTTATATTAAGACTTCTTGAACCCATGTGTTTTTCTGACATCATGAATTTGTATCTATGATTATAATGACAGTACGGCTCTCACCTGTTGAACAGCGGTAAATGAGGACCCATCAGATTAAACCGTATCCCTATCATTAAAAGTGCTGTCAACCCAAGAAGTCCTATTCTGGCAACCGATTTCCGTATCCATAATGATATCAGTCTACGGTCTGCAGAAACACACTGCCGAAGATGTGTGAGATTGGCAACCTGAAATTAAATAATAGGCTTGACATTTTTTTATGGAGAAACGGTTGAACCTAAAATGGAACAGTAAAAAGTCAATGTCCAACCTCATAAAGTACAAGTATTGTAAAATATTATTAACGCCACTAAGTAGCATACTAATAAAAACAACATAGGGATGATGACAAAACCTTGTCGAAACATTGTATATTTGCTGTTATGTTAAACTTATATTAAAGTTTTTCTTCACTACCCATTCAAGCCGTCTCCAACCAATATTAGTCTCAAGTGGGTTCCACGTCATTGAACATAGGGATGTTAGTCCCATATAAGACTTTCAGGAAATATACTTCTGTAAATTTTCATAGACAAAAATCTTTAATTCTCTATGTAACATCAAACTTCTATTACCTTTACCAAACACTTTAAAATTCCACATTTTTTGGTAGTTTTTCGTTTATTTTATTAAGATTTTTAGTTTTACATCTCAGTTTTCTTTGTTTATAAGTTGGTTATGACAGTGATGAGGAAATTCATAATGAGAGTAATACAATGAGAAATAAATAAGAATTAGAAAACCGTTAGTATTCTTAATTTCTTCAAAAGGGGGCCGAAGGCAGTTTGGAGGGGTCACCTGCTTTAACCACTCGCACCACCATACAGTAGTGTGTTATCTGTCAGTCAGCCAGTAGACACTGAAATGATGTCACATACAGGACGCTTAACATTGCATTCTGTACTGTCGTAACGTCAGTAAAACGTGCGCATACTATGAATCACAAGAAACATTATGGACTCTGTAGGCTACAACACATCATGACATATGAACTTTAAAAGCAAGAAATAAAAATGTTTGTTACTCTTAATTTTGGTTTTATTTATTCTTGAAATAGACCAATTTCCGGGACCCTGCGCAAGTAGTTTAAAATATGTTATCCTCCGTCAGTTAAAACTCGCTCTTATTAACTTATTCGGAATCACAACTGGCATGTATTCATGTACACAGCAAACATACTACTATTAATTAGAAAAACTGAAGTTTCTATTGCTTATTTATTTATCCGTTTATCCATGTTACTTATAACATTCTCCCATTTGTTGTATTTTAATTGAATTTTTTAAGAGTTGTTTATATTATGATACCTCGAACCCCGTACTTTTTATTCATCCAACCATCTAATAATAATTCCACAATTATCAACATCAGTTTATCTTTGTTTGTATATTCTATTGTTTCAACATAGCGTGGCAGATTTCGATAGATTACTGTTGAAAAATCAAAATAATTTCCATGATTACATTTATTCAGAGTCTGTTTCTTTGTTTGTAGTTAAGCGCAAAGCTACACAAAGGGCTATCTGTGCTCTGCCCACCACGGGTATCGAAACCCGGTTTCTAGCGTTGTAAGTCCGCAGACATACCGCTGTGCTACTGGGGGGCTTATTCAGAGTCAACTTCATCTTGACCGTTTTACAAGTAGTTTGATTTTCGAATACCGTGCACATTTTGGGAACTACAAGTGATACTATAAAATATATATAGTTTTATCTTTTAACTCATAAAATGAAAGTAAAAAAAAATAATTTAATTAGAATCTGAATATTACTATCAGTGATTACAACGAATCCAGAATAACAACAATCCTAAAAGAAAAACAAGATGCATTTAATAAATGTGTTGCTCTCTATATTTGCTAGTTACGTGATAAGTTGCTTTAATTGGTATGTCAACAGAATTTCAAAAAGTTGAGTCTGACGAAAGTTTTCTAGCGTTTTTACCTTCATCGAGAGTAGGCCATAGACAGCACAGACCACCAAAACAGTCAAACACTGTTCTTTACATAGCGTTCCACACACTGCAAGGGCTGCGGTTTCTATACAGCAGCGCCAACCTGAAGAGCACAACAAAGATTAATACTTTAATGTATCATAATTCTATCGATTTAGTTGAATTATTACATTAATTACCATGGTATAACTATAATATTTTATGAAACTCGTATTTATCAAATATGTTACTGATTTACTCAGAGAGCATTACCTGAATTATGGTCGAATTACTCATACTTGCATACAATCTTATATGTGGAAGTACAACTTGAATCAAGTATAACTTCATGATCATATAGTACCTACTTCCCAGAGCTTTGATTGTTTGTTATGGATTTCGCGCAAAGCTACACGAGGGCTATCTGCACTAGCCGTCCCTAATTTAGCAGTGAAAGACTAGAGGGAAGGCAGCTAGTCATCACCACCCACCGCCAACTCTTGGGCTACTCTTTTACCAACGAATAGTGGAATTGACCGTCACATTATAATGCCCCCTACGGCTGAAAGGGCGAGCATATTTGGTGTGGCGGGGATTCGAACCCGCGACCCGCAGATTGCGAGTTAAGCGCCCTAACCACCTGGACATGCCACGCCCAGAGCTTTGAGAATCAAATGTTAACAGTGTTGCATTGAACAACATGAATGTTAATTTACTTTTCATTGAATCTCAAGAAATGAGAAAATATATTTTTCATTATTCATATATCAAATGTTATAAATTGCAGTGCCAGAAGGTTTGTGGAATAATAGCCCATTATTTTAAAGTGTAATGAACATGCAGAACACGTATAAGGCATATAAATATATATGTCACGGTGTGCACCACATATAAATTTTGTGTTATATACATATTATATATATATATATGGTGCTCTCATTTATAACCTGACATTCCGAAATGTTATGTATTCATACACCCGTTGTAAATACACTTTTAAATGTCTGACGTGACTCTTGACTGTTTAATATCTATACTTTACTTCTTCCGGTATTTTTTGGTATTTATTTTATTATATTCAGTCGGTATGGTTTGACATTTATTACTACAATCTAATATAGATAAGCTTATCTTTCTCTTTTGTGGTTTTTCTATTACGAACAGACACAATTCACCCAAAGCAGAAACGTACAACAAAAGGTTATTGCAAGATTGAAGAAAAAATATTTACGCTTTATAGACAAAATAGAAATCGTAACTCGTGCATATTTGAGAAGTGTTCCCGCTTTATAACAGCGTAGTAATACGTGGCACCGAGCTGCAGTTTTAAACGATTTGTGTATGTCTGTGTGTGTGTGGGTTTTATAAATTTTGCCAAATGTACAAATATCTCCGAAACCGTCGTGAGATCCGATCAAACTCAAAGTGATTACGTAAATCTTCCTAGGAATAGAACGGATTTTTTTTAATTAACAATTTTCATCTTGTTTGTTTCGAGTATTCGCACAAAGTTGCATAAAGACTATTGGAGCTAGCCGTCCCTAATTTTGATATGATAGGGAAGGCAGCCATTAAACAGCATCCACCGCCAACTCTTGGGTTACTTGTGTCTAACGGCTTAATGAGAAATGACAGTCACACTTATTACACATCTACGACGACCACCACCACCACCCAAAGTGCGGTGCACGGTTTTGCGGCAATGTGGCACGAACATCGGACCTTCGGATCTATAATTCGACCCACTAACCACTAGGCCACGCCCGGTAGTAAAACATCAAATATTTAACAAGTGCGTAATAATTCCTGCAAATTAAATTTCGCTTCCATGTTTACCATGATATTTCTCCACACATGTCGGTTGAATCACCAGATCTTCTCAGTGTACGAACTCCGGTTAGGTAGTATTTGTAAGCATACCGTTAGGTAGTATTTGTAAGCATACCTAGGGAAAGTTTTGTACTACAAATGAACCACCAAAATGCAACGAAGCGTTGCAAGCAAAAATAACTTTTAATTCACTGCAGACTCAAGTGTGCTTGCTTATGTGGTATTAAAGGTTTTCTGGCGAATGGGTGGGAATTAGTCCTCACAGTCTGTTGCATAAATTGAACTTGGTAAGTGTGTATGTGTGTTAGATGCATAATTATTTTCGAATAAAATATTTTTATAAATATAATATATATATATATATTCTCTGTAAATACAACGTTTTTGCATGTTTGTTATGGATACCCGGTGAGCATTCTATGACGCTATGCAAAGCAGGAAAGGATGATTAAATAAAATTAATTAATAATGCATAAGTAGATCCGGTTTGCAGCATATATTTAGTCTCATCAGAACAAATGCTTAAAGGTCACTGAAAATATTACAAAATGAACGCTATAAACGCTATTAGACATTAAAGCAAAATTGTGTTTGAAATATATATAAAAAAAAGAAAGATAGGTCAGACTTAGGATAATCCAAAGGTTAAACGACTGGGGGGAAAAAAAGCAGTTTAAAGGTGTGAATTCTCATTCAATTATCTCAAATCCTGCTATTAACAAACATCTGGACAATAAAGTACAAACCTATTTGTAAAACTTACACGATCATAAGGATTCGCACTGATGATGGATTGCATATGTACTTCGAATAAATATGTACATTTCAGCATGACCGCAGCGCATACTCAGAAACATTTCTCACGTCTGAAATATCAGAAACCATATCATGACCAGCCAGGAATGGAAGTTGCGAAGTGTAGGGTCAGAAATAAGGACTACCTCTTCAAAAAAGGTTTATATGATTTTAAACTTAGTAGTTATCTTTGTGTATACAGTTGTAGCTTAAACAACATCCTGTATAATTTCCACTGTGGAACAGAGTCTCAGTACGTTCATCATTCATCTAATTCTAGTAATCAGGATCTCTTTACCTTGTAATATGTAAATACAATTACCTATGAAAGATAATGTATATTGAAAGCTGCAGTTCTTGGTTCCTTATGGTGTGAGTCTTGTAGCATCATTTGAACTGATCTGTTTTACATTATTAAGCCCAAAATAATATAATAAAATTGAATTCAGTCGCATTTACTGACACGGACTTAACTTTGGAGAGACGATATTGCTCAAAATTGCATTGCCTTGCTAGTGTTTATAAAAGTTTTAGGAAGTGCTTTGTTTTCTAATTACAATGAGCAGCATTTAATTGGAAAGGGCACAATAATCAAATAGTAAAAAAAAAAAGTGTTAAAAACCCATAATATACTCATATATCTTTAAATATTCACTGGAGTACAAAGTTACGATTGCTTGGAATATAACTTTACTGACTGAAGCGACACCTGAATAATATATTTTTGTTCCATCACTAATTTCCAAATAACTTTTGGTAGAATATTTTGACGGTATCAGAATGAAATAACATTTGAAATTCATCATTTGATCTCGGTTGCTGCAGTCACGTCAAAATATCTCCTTAAACGTGTTATACACGGCACAACAAGGCTTATATTAAAATCACTTCATAAACTTTGGATTACGTACACTTTAAGCTTATTCAGATGTCGCCTCAGTCAGTTAAGTGGTATTCCAAGTAAATGCAGTCTAGTATAATTTAAAAAATACCAGTAAGTTGAATAGAACAGAAAATTATGACAATAATTTCATCTTTGACTATTCTTACAAAACAGAAATGGTCTTAACTTTTGTCATATCTTGTATCTGTATAATATGATTCTTATTTTGTATTAGCGAGAGTTTTCTTAGATAAAGCTAGCTGCCCCTTATTGCACATGGTCTTGTGCATTCCAATTGCTGCATAAAATATATATTATACGTGAAGTTTTAAAAACAAGGCAGAATTTATTATATGTTTAGAGTTTGAAGCTCGGCATATATGTTTTATGATTTACTTTATTAACCTGTCATACTTATGTGTCACAAAGTGTCAAGAGTTTCTCAAATTCAAAAGTACTTTCGTGCACACCACAAGGATTTCACGGCCTTATTTTTATGATATATTTATCATATAATATTAGAAAAACTACAGCATCGAGTAAAAAAAAAAGGAAGTTTGAAGGGTTTATTTTGTAATATTCTTTCACCACAACATAAAACATACAGACAACATGTTTGAATTGATTAATGGCCCTTTGTTCTTTGGGAAGTATTTCGACATCAATGGTGGCCAAAATGAGGCTCTTTGGAACAAATCGTGTTGATAAATATTTGTAAAATAACTGTTAATGTGTACGTATTTCAATCCTGTCCAATGAGGTAGTTATGTGTAAGAATTTGTCTCCCTTTGAAACTATAAAGCAACTTCCACTCAAAATGGTAACATATTATTGTTTTCTCGAAGATATATTTTGCTTTACCCTAGAACTCGAGAGATATATGGTTCTTCGATTTTTTTCTTGTCTCAAATTCAATTTTTTAAGAATTATACACCATCTTTTATTTCTAAAAGTCTTCGGAATTTATCATTTATAATTTACTTATAAATTATTCTTTAAAGTGAATTTTAAGCTATTCAATTTAACATTATGACAATAAATATCATTGTAATAATTAAAATAAATTGTTTAGCTTAAAATATCTACCAGTTGGAAATTGTACATACTGGCGTACAAATGGTTTTTTTTTAGGGGGGGCGTGGCCTAGTGGCTGGTGTATCAGACTGTGGATCCGAGGGTCCAAGGTTAGCACCCCGCTGCTGCAAATTGAAAAACACGCAACGATTGTTTGTTTGTAATTAAGTACAAAGCTACACGATGGGCTATATGTCCTCTGCCCACCACGAGTATTGAAACCCGGATTCTAGCGTTGTAAGTCCGCAGACATAGCGCTGTGTCACTGGGGGGGGGGGGGTCACACGCAACGAACTATGAAAAATGGAGGCATTATAAGAATGACGGCCAAATCCAACTATTAGATTGTGTTGCTCAACAATCGGCGGTGGGTGCCGTTGACTAGCTGCCTTCCCTAGTGTATAAGCTCAAAATGAAGGACGCTAGCTGGCCCTCATGTGGCTTTATGTGATTATTCAAAATATAATGAAACTTTTATACCTTTTATAGAGTCTAACCAAATTTATTCTAATATGACGTGCCAATCATTAAATGTTTTGCTTTACTATGGTGTACTTCTGGTAATAATCTCGTACAGTGCTCGGTATTATGTTGTTTTTTTTTTTTAACGAAAATTTGAGTTCAAAAATCGGGCGTTTCACGCAGCTATGTTTAAATATAAAGGGATTACTCAAAATGTGGCCTTATATTGCGAGAAATCTTAAAGTCACGTGCTATCATGTATTGCCTAGAATAATTTATTGTATAAGTTTATTAACCTGGACATCACAGGCAAGAGCTAAATTGTTTTTCTCTGATTTGCAGTCTGTCATTACTTTACATGAGAAAGGAGTATTGCCTATACATCTTTGTGTTTATTTGAAGTGAATATTTAAAATATTTCAATGTATTGGCTTCAAAACATTTTCTATCTACTCACCTATTACCATGAGTCTTTTCATTTTAAGAAACCCATGAGCAATTACATTAACCAACGCCATGGTCATAACGTGACTTAATTTTATTTTGGAAACATTTTCTTGCTAAATCCTTTGTAATTTTAAAGAATGTCATAAAATTCGAAGGTTCTCTTTAATTTTGTCATTTAAATTTCATGTTCTTTTGTTGTTGTTGTTGTTTTTTTTTACTTTACAACATTAAAAAGTGTAATATTTCAGAGAAAATTCTATAGTAATCTTCGCCCTAAATAAAACAGGGATATAAAATTACTCTTACGATAAAATTTAGGTGTAAAAACCACAAACTGTTAAAACATTAAATTCTCTAATGGAGATCTTAAAACCTTTAAAATGTGTGGACTTGACGCGTCTTAGGGTTTAATGTGTTGGGTTGTGAACAAAGGGTCTGGGGTTTGAGACGTCATGCCGATGAACACGCTCCGCACTTTCAGCTATGGGCAAGTTATAGGAGTGACAATCATTCCCATTATTAGGTTAAAAAAAGCCACACAGAGCCTGTGTCTCCGAGGGTGCTGCTGATTGGTTGTCTTACGTTTGGTAAATTGTCCAAAATATTGGACGGCTTTACCTAAATTCTAGGTATTTATAAATTGACTGTTTAATCCAAGTACTGTTCAGATTGAAAAATTCCAATTCTTGAATAGTTGCTTCGCTAAAATCATTTAATGATAACGAAAGCTTCTACGAGTCTATTTCCTGTACACTCTCGTATGTATATATATACATATATATATATATTACTGGTAGGCTTAATGAGTAATTGTACTCTTTATTGAAATTGCCCATTTCCCTGCTTGTATATTCATACAACAATGTTTTTGTTTTTTTCAAAATGGTTTAAGTAAAGCATATTACTCTGTTGTTTAAATGGTAGCTTAAAATCATATTTTTCTGCAATAATCGCATGGGCTACTTAACCTAAACCTAAACAGGTTAAATTAATCTTAGGACTCTCTTAGATTTATAATGAGGTACGTAGGCGTTTTGGCGAGTGAAGTAGAAGTAAAAATTCAATTGACTGCTTATATTAACTTCTTATCAGTCTTTATAACAGTTGCATATTGATAGGGATATACATTAACATACATCTGAGCTTCGTAAAGTTTCTGGCATATGAGTCATTATATATCATTAAATAGGCAATTAACAGTTTATCAAAAACATTAATTTTCACTGGTTACTTTGTAGCGGTCGTATCTCACTCATTCAAATGAGCTATCGTTGGTTAATTATTCACGCATAACTCTCTTTACGTTTTGTCGTGCGGTGTTAGGAAAAGCTTAGATGAAATTATCGATCATATATATCTTGTGTAGGTTAGTACCAAATCATTCAAGTTATAAATATGTGAAATTTATGAATAGATTTTTCCACAAATAACGTTCATGGCAGGTAATTTCATGCGCCGTTGACTCCAACTGAAATGGTATTTAAGAAGCCGGGTGAGAATTAAGTCGATAAGATTAGCTTAAAGATTGCTAATTATTTGTCATTGACAGTTGTTTAACACTTTTAAACTGTATATTATCTGTTTTATTGTTGTTGTTTTTTTAGAATGGGAAATCAGTTTCATCCTTCGCTTGAAACAAAATCAATACATAAATAAAATTTATGATTTTCAGCATAATATTTCAACAACTCTTTTGCGTGTTCTCATAACCGTGAACAGCTTGTTTATTTAGATTTCGTGTAGATAACAGAGGTTTTCTTCTACAACCTAACATTAATACACTTGAATCAGAAGAATTTAATCTGGGTTAATACTTTTCTTTCTTGTTTTTTGGTGCGTATAGAAAATTACGTTAGGGACAGAGTTATTTGATAAAACAAGTCAAACACTAGACTCTACTCAGATAAGCTTTGTTAAATCCGAATTGTTCTTTTTTGTAATTAAGTAAGGCTATTATATAAGTGGGGTGGTGTTCTCCACTCGTTTCCAGGAACACAGTCACGTTGTAAGCAAGCATTTCTAGTTATCAAGTAATTTTTCTAGATAAGGCTATTACTTGATTAGCTTGGCACGTCTGCTTTTATGAATACACGTGCATTACGGTGACATTAACTTGTTATACAAGCTTGAACAGAGCGTATATGTAATAATTGTTGTTTTGGTATTAAAATATCTTATGTGGATTCGAAACTGAAGAAATAAATAAATAAAGCAAACGCGAATTTGTACCTTAAAACACATCATTGAATGAAGACAAAAACTTTCGATCAATGAGGGTGACGCCCTGTATAGAAGCTTCGTATTTGTTTGAAGTACAACCACACAAATGTTTGTTTGTTTTGAATTTCGCGCAAAGCTACACGAGGGCTTTCTGTGCTAGCCGTCCCTAATTTAGCAGTGTAAGACAAGAGGGAAGGCAGATAGTTATCTCCACCCACCGCCAACTCTTGGGCTACTCTTTTACCAACGAATAGTGGGATTGACCGTCCCATTATAACGCTCTCACGGCTGAAAGGGCGAGCATGTTTGACGGGACGGGGATTCGAACCCGCGACCCGCAGATTGCGATTCGAGCGCTCTAACCACCTGGCCATGCCGGGCCCCACACAATTATATAATTATAAAATGTCGTCAATAATGTTCGCCGATAACTCGAGAATATTTCATTTCAACTGTTTATATATAGATTTTGAAGAGATCTATCAGACGGTATGAGGTGATAAATCAGACAAACGTTTGAAACATAATATTATTATTAAACTGAAAGTAGTCTATCATTAACAACACAATAGTGTTAATGAAACCCCACCCAATTAACAAATTAACATCGAGCTTGAACACAAATTTTATTATCATTTCGTACGAGTAAGTGATTTAGCCCGATGATTTTGATGGTGTCTTTCAAAGGGATGATCTATTGTTATTGTTGTTTGAGAATAGGAGGGATATATATAAATATGTATAAATGAAAACAATTTTCATGAACTATTTATCCCTACAGGATGGAATACATTATTTTGGAAATAACTACCTGATACTGGAATGTGATAATCTCATTTCTAATTATATCTCAAAAGAGGTTTTATTAAAAGGTGATATGAAACTTACCCACGTGTTCATTACGCTGTATAAGCCGTACGTATTGAGACAAGGCACTCAGGAAGAACACAGCTGAGAGAAGTTCGGCTCTTCCAACCACACCGGCGACCTGTGGACGATATAAGTGAAATTAAATCTCATGCAACATATTAAAATACAACAGTAATGGTATCACGAGAATAAAAAGCTAAAAGCTAGTTGATAGATTTACCCGAGAAAATTATATTTTATGGATTCGGTCATTGAATATCTTCAGATCAATCACAGTATGTATACACCTGCGTTTCTTCTAACAAAGCTAACAGAAAAGCTATAAGCCTGTTTACAACATACATACTTTCCGCGTAGGCAGTAATGAATCTTGTATTTCAAAAGTTTTTTGTAGAACTGAGTAAATGTCATTATCCTCTCCTTCATTGTGAATACACATAAAAATTTCTTCCTTATGCATGTAAAAAATTTGGTATATAGATAATGGCAAACAAAGTCCACTGAAAACATAAAATCCCTTGAAATCGTTAAACATCAGTAGTCAGTCAACAGTTACTATTAATCCCACCCTGTGTAACATCATAATCTCGATCTTTGAACATGTTACGTTCAACAGATTTAATTGATAAAAACTAACGTAATGAGGATTAGAAAACTACTGTATACTCATAATCTACATAACAAATGTGGCGCTCGACTCACAATCCCTTGGTCGCGGGATCAAAACCTGTCATCAAACATGCTCGCTCTTTCAGCTACTAACAAGCTATAAATACTTTGGCAATTGTCTTGTAATTCACTCCTGAGGATGACGTTGTAACGTCGAAACATGTAGAGTCGTCAATTTTT